GAGAAGAGCTGCCCAAGTCCATGACTGACATGTACTCACACTTCCTGCTGGTCCAGACTACCAGGAAAAAGAACAAGTACCATGAAGGACCTGGGACCAGTCCACAGGAGCTGACAGAGGCTGACAGGGAAGTTCTTCTGAAGCTGGGGAGGCTGGCCTTTGAACATCTGGAGGAAGGAAACATCATGTTCTACCAAGAAGACCTGGAACAGTGTGGTCTTGATGTCACAGAGGCTTCAGTGTACTCAGGAGTTTGTACAGAGATCTTCAAAAGAGAGTGTDTGATCTTCCAGAAACCAGTCTACTGCTTTGTTCATCTGAGTGTTCAGGAGTTTCTGGCTGCAGTCTACATGTTCCACTGTTCCACCAACAGGAACATGGAGGTGATGGGGATGTTTCTGGGAGAGCATTACAGATACTCATCTCTGGATGACTTCCTGAACAGAGTCATGGAGAAATCCCTCCACAGAAAAAATGGCCGCCTGGACCTGTTTGTTCGCTTCCTTCATGGCCTCTCTGTGGAGTCCAACCAGAGACTTATAGGTTTGCTGGGTCAGACAGAGATCAGTCCAGAAACCATCCAGGGAGTCATCAACAACCTGAAGAAGATGAGCAGTTATAGTTCTCCAGACAAAAGCATCAGCATCTTCCAGTGTCTGATGGAGATGAAGGACCTCTCAGTTTATCAGGAGATCCAAGAGTTCCTGAAGTCAAAGAACAGATCAGAGAGACTCTCAGAGTTCCAGTGTTCAGCTCTGGCCTACATGCTGCAGATGTCAGAGGAGGTTCTGGATGAACTGGACCTGATGACGTACAACACATCAGATGAGGGTMGACTGAGACTGATTCCAGCTGTGAGGAACTGCAGAGAGTTTGTGTGAGTCCAGACGTTTCATTCCATCATCAGTCAGTGGAGATCAGCTGTTTGAATTATTAGTAGTTATTAGAACCATGAGGAGTTCTGTTTGGATCAAGTTAGGATCAGTCTGATGGTGTCAGATCAGTCTGATGTGGATCTGGTCTACAAACATCTGCTCAGTTTAATCAGAAACAAAGTTTTTAAATAATGTGAATATAAAGAATCAGATGAATCTAAAAGTTGGAGTGAAACAGTCAACACTCTGCTGTGGTCTTTCTGGATCAAAGTTTAGTTGAACTTGATTTATTTTGTTCCTTTTAAAGAATACAACATAAATCCATCCCTGCTCTCTGAAGTCTGTCCACACAGAGCTCAGAGTCTGACAGAAGCACATGAAGTCCTCCTGGGTCTCAGCTCCCTGAACAGAACTTCTTAATCCCAGTCCTGGTGGATTTCTGACCATTACTGCCCCCTAATGTTTAATCTGAATCTATCCTCACACTAGTTTCACTGATTTCTGTTTTCATTTTCTCTTCCAAACATGTCCTTGTGAGGATCCAGACTCTGACCTGCAGCAGACAGAAGTCAGAACTCAGATGAGAAAAACAGGAAGTTATGCTAACAGGCTAACTGAGCTAGCAGCTGCTAAAACATGACAGAACAGATTTCTGTTAGCTTCAACATCTCGAAGTTCCTGAACAAATGTTACATGGTGGATTTTGGTCTCAGATAGTTGAGAAAATGGAGTCGAAGGGTCAAATATTTGTCTGATTTCAGAGTGAAGCAGACAAATCCACAAAACAGCTTTAGTTTAAACAGCTGGGAGTTTCTGAGGTTGAAATAGTTTGAATTTTCCTCTAAACTTAATTTCTTGACTCCATGGCTCTGAAACATTGACCCATGTCTCCCTGAAGCTGTACCAGAACCACCACCAGAACCTGCTTAGATGTTCTGATCCCACCTAGAAGACTAGAGTCCAAGTGTTTTTGTAAAGCAGATGTTTTGATTCTGAGTCTGGATCGGATCCACTGGCAGACTGTGGACCTGATGGAAGCAGAAATGTGACGCCATGTTCCCTCCTTCATCAGAAGCTTAAAGGGGCAGTATCATGTAAAATCAATTTTTTGAGTTTTATATCATGTTATAATGTTATACTCTCTTAAAAAACATGCCCAAAGCCTTGCTCTGACTCATTCATG